TGTGTGTGTGTGTGTGTGTGTGTGTGTGTGTGTGTGTGTGTGTGTGTGTCACAGACTTAGCTCTGTTAAGGTAATAACTAACAACTCCAAAATTTTGTTTTATTTCATTACTTACATATTAACTTAACTTAAATAATGAGCAAAGAATGCGGCGTAATTTTCTCCAGAAATCACCAACAGAATCTTAGGTCGAAGTCCAAAAATTCGTATATTTTCAAAGTCTTTATATGATTTTAATACTAAGTGCTAATTGTCACTAATTGAGTAGCTGCGAGCGACCGCGTCAATGGATATGGTAATTTAAATAGTATAACTTATTTCAATGATCTTATTACACAAGATATATTACGGTCGTAGTAACAGACGTTTTAAATCTGTCGTGCAACCTACATTAACTTTTTTTTAATTGCGCGTCACTTGCGTTGTGGGGTATTTATGATTATGATATTATGGAACAGAATGAACATTTCGAAAAGATGTAAAACACAATGGAAAGGGAAAACATATTTTTTGTTATTAATCAAACTTGAAAAATATTTATAAGTCAAATAGAATTAATCATTTAGCTTGGAACAATGCTATTTCTAAAATAATAAATAGATTTGTTTGTCGTGTCCCTATCCTTTCATCATCTACAAAATTGATGACTATACTGCTTACAGTGTTCGTATCTGTACTTATAATCTATGACAGAGTTCATGCATGCTTTTACTTGCTACAGAAATATTTTACTATCCTTATCTTCAATTAGAAACTATTATTTATTGAAATAAACAGAAAAAATATATAGCAATAAAGTAAATAATGTTGCTAACTTACTCGTGGTATTTTGACATTTTTATTGCAATTTATATAAAATGACTCATTTATACGTAACAGGTTTGTCTCTTTGCTCGATACAGATTGATTGCTGGAACATTCACGACAAGGACACCAGTAACGCATCTGCTTTTTTTAAGTATATAAGATCATTGACTTATAAATATCAAATAGAAATCGGCGATTGTGCGTTTCATGGAAAATCCGTGAAAATTCTGAGTTTTAGTGTTTTTTATTTAAAAAAAATGTATCAGTGCAATTCTAAATGTCAACATAATTTAAGGAAAAAGTCGAATAATTTGAATTCGCACCTTGGTGTAATATGGCCACATATAACAATAATAACTTTT